GCTCTAAAATAACATTTTCTTTGTTCATCAGTCACATCTCCAGGCCCCTCTGATATTACTATTGCTTTCTATTTTGAATTTTTATTCAAACCAAAAATAGAAGATTTACTGTTATGCAGACTACTGCAATATTGTAATAATTGTACAAATAATGTCAACCCATTCATGACTGCATATTATAATGGCTAGTTGGACATTTATTGGACAATGACATCATTTGTTTACTTTTGAACATCGGCAAAAAATCAAACATTTCCCCTACTTTGAGCTCCATTTCCAGGTTCTTTTTTAGTAAAACCAATCAAAATCACCTCTATTTCTATAATATATTTTCCATTCTATCAAGTGAGACCAAGAAAACGAGTATACAACCATAAATACTATACGAAAATAGATCACAAAGTCAGCATTTTAATTAAAAAAATCTGTCAGTTTTTTTTTCTCATTATGCACTGCATGCTGCAGGATTTTTTTTATGTGGTGCACACTGACCACACAGACCCATTCTCTCACATGTGGGCCTACCAGCTTTCTCCTGCTTGATTTGAAACCTCTAGAATTTATGCGTATTAATACGCATAAATTATCCGAAACACTGGCTCAGAAGACGTATATATACGACCAAAACAGTCAAAGGGTTAAGTCACCCTGCCTTAGTGGGATGTGGCCAGTTCGTCTAGAAAAAAAAAAAGTAATATTTTTACAAGTACAGGATACAACTATTACAGTATACAAATAACCCACACATAGGAGAACTAAACTTATGGTGATGTTTTGGTCTGACTTTCATCATTAAATATTCACTAAATTGCAGTGCAACATTTCCACATTAACCCTTTGACTGTCGCGGCCGTATATATACGTTTTACGAGGTGCCGTGTTTGACGTATATATACTCATAAATTCTAGCGGCTTCAAATCAAGCAGAAGAAAGCTGGTAGGCCCACATGTGAGAGAATGGGTCTGTGTGGTCAGTGTGCACCATATAAAAAAAATCCTGGAGCACGCAGTGCATAATGAGAAAAAAAAAACTCCGACCGTTTTTTTTTAATTAAAATGCCGACTTTGTGGTCTATTTTCGTATAGTATTTATGGTTGTATTCTCGTTTTCTTGGTCTCATTTGATAGAGTGGAAAACATATTACAGAAATAGAGGTGTTTTTGATTGATTTTACTATAAAAAGAACCTAGAAATGGAGCTCAAAGTAGGGGAAATGTTTGATTTTTGCCAATGTTCAAAAGTAAACAAATGATGCCATTGTCCAATAAATGTCCAACTAGCCATTCTAATATGCAGTCATGAATGGGTTGATGTTATTTATACAGTTATTACAGCATTGCAGTAGTCTGCATAATAGTAAGTCTAATATTTTTTGTTTGAATAAAAATTCAAAATAGAAAGCAAGAGTAATATCAGAGGGGCCTGGAGACGTGACTGATGAACAAAGAAAACGTTATTTTAGAGCCTGGAATGTCTGCATTGTTCATTCTGGACCTTATTTTGAAATTGTCATATTTTTTAGTTTTCGTGAAATTGGCCAAATTGCAAATTTCTGACCACATTACAGTGGACCCCCGCATACCGGATGCCTTGCATAACGGACAATCCGCATACCGGACGCTTTGATCGCTAAAATTTTGCCTCGCATACCGCCCAAAAACCCGCTCAGCGCCCTTCGTCCGAGACGCGTCCAATGTGCGGCCTGAGCCAGCCTCATATGTTCCGCCGGTGCCATTGTTTACCAGCCAGCCTCCGCGGTAACATTCAAGCATACAATCGGAATATTTCGTATTATTACAGTGTTTTCGGTGCTGTTTCTGGAAAATAAGTGACCATGGGCCCCAAGAAAGCTTCTAGTTCCAACCCTACAGCAATAAGGGTTAGAATTCCAATAGAGATGAAGAAAGAGATCATTGATAAGTATGAAAGTGGAGTGCGTATCACCGACTGGTCAGGTTGTACAAGAAACCCAAATCAACCATCTCTACTATTGTGGGGAACAGAAAGGCAATCAAGGAAGCTGTTCTTGCCAAAGGTTTAACTGTGTTTTCGAAACAAAGATCGCAAGTGATGGAAGATGTTGAGAGACTTATTGGTGTGGATAAATGAAAAACAGCTAGCAGGAGATAGCGTCTCTCAAGCGATCATAAGCGAAAAGGCTAGGAAGTTGCATGAGGATTTAATTAAAAAAAGGCCTGCAACTAGTGATGATGTGAGTGAATTTAAGGCCAGCAAAGGTTGGTTTGAGAGATTTAAGAAGCGTAGTGGCATACATAGTGTGATACGGAATGGTGAGGCTGCCAGTTCGGACCACAAAGCGGCTGAAAAATATGTGCAGGAATTCAAGGAGTACATAGAAACTGAAGAACTGAAACCTGAACAAGTGTTTAATTGTGATGAAACAGGCCTGTTCTGGAAGAAAATGCCAAGCAGGACCTACATTACTCAGGAGGAAAAGGCACTCCCAGGACATAAGCCTATGAAAGACAGGCTTACTTTGTTGATGTGTGCCAATGCTAGTGGTGATTGCAAAGTTAAGCCTTTATTAGTGTATCACTCTGAAACTCCCAGAGCGTTCAGGCAAAAGAATGTCCTCAAGGATAATTTGTGTGTGCTGTGGAGATCAAACAGTAAGGCATGGGTCACTAGGGACTTTTTCTATAACTGGTTACACCATGCATTTGCCCCCAATGGTCAGAGATTACCTAACTGAAAAGAAATTAGAAAATTAAGTGCCTCCTGGTGTTAGACAATGCCCCTGGTCATCCTACAGACGTGGCCCGAGCGACTTTATGGGGACATGAGCTTCATTAAGGTGAAGTTTTTGCCTCCTAATACCATCCTCTCCTGCAGCCCATGGACCAGCAGGTTATTGCAAACTTCAAAAAACTGTACACAAAAGCTCTGTTTGAAAGGTGCTTTTGTAGTGACCTCAGAAACTCAACTGACTCTAAGAGAGTTTTGGAGAGATCACTTTAATATCCTCAATTGTATAAACCTTATAGGTAAGGCTTGGGAGGGAGTGACTAAGAAGACCTTGAACTCTGCTTGGAAGAAACTGTGGCCAGAATGTGTAGACAAAAGGGATTTTGAAGGGTTTGAGGCTAACCCTGAGAGGAGTATACCAGTTGAGGAATCAATTGTGGCATTGGGGAAGTCCTTGGGGTTGGAGGTTAGTGGGGAGGATGTGGAAGAGTTGGTGGAGGAGGACAATGAAGAACTAACCACTGATGAGCTGATAGATCAACTTCAAGAGCAAGAGGCCAGACCTGGGGAAACTGGTTCAAAGGAGGGGAGAGAGAAATTGAAGGAATTGCCTACTTCAAAGATTAAGGAAATGTGTGCAAAATGGCTTGAAGTGCAAACCTTTTTGATGAAAATCAACCCTCACACAGCTATTGCAAGCCGTGCTGGTGACTGTTACAATGACAATGTTGTGAACCACTTTAGACAGATCATAAAGGAACGAGAGGTACAGGCCACTATGGACAGATATGTTGTGCGAAAGAAGTCCAGTGACTCTGAAGCTGGTCCTAGTGGCATTAAAAGAAGAAGGGAAGTAACCCCAGAAAAGGACTCAACACCTCAAGTCTTAATGGAAGGGGATTCCCCTTCTAAACACTAACACTCTCTCTCCCCTCCTCCCATCCCATCAATCATCACCAGATCTTCAATAAAAGTAAGTGTCATGTAATTGTGCATGCCTTTTTCAGTTTGTGTGTACTAAAATTAACATTTCATGTGGTAAAAAAAAATTTTTTTCATACTTTTGGGTGTCTTGCACGGATTAATTTTATTTCCATTATTTCTTATGGGGAAAATTCATTCACATACCGAACATTTCGCATAACAGCCAGCCCTCTTGCACGGATTAAGGTCGCTATGCTGGGGTCCACTGTATTAGGTAGTTGAAATCAGTAAATGGGCAGTTTCTTGTACTCAATCGATAGAAAAAATGAAGTTCTAAAGAAATAGCTATGAGTTTGGGCGACTGGAACAATGGAATTAGCCGAAAATAGGGCTCAAAATGGGCGAAATCGCCGATTTGTAAACAGCGCCGAGGTCGCTAACTTCGCAAGAGCATAATTCCGTCAGTTTTCCATCAAATTTCGTTTTTTTTGGTGTCATTACAATCGGGAAAAGATTCTCTATCATTTCATAAGAAAAAATAATTTTTTTTTTTTAAATTTTGCGACACCAGGAGACACCTCAGGATTGGGGGTTGCGACAGTCAAAGGGTTAATGTTTCTCAAATGTTGCACAAATGCCTCATTCAACTGTCTCCCTTCCCTTCACACTTTTGTGTTACTGGTTAGCAGTCACAAGTCAGACAGAAATGTCGTCGTAAGTTTCATTCTCGTGCGTGTGCGTGTGCGTGTGCGTGCGCGTGCGCGTGCGCGTGCGTGTGCGTGTGCGTGTGTGTGTGTGTGTGTGTGTGTGTGTGTGTGTGTGTTGTCTGTGTCTGTCTGTCTTACTTGTGCAGTGTTCCAGTCATGTACAGAGCCTTTTTATTCTTTCTCAACCATTACATTATCATCTTTTCCCATATAAACATGATTATATATTAAATGCTTACAAAATGGTATCCAGAATAGGACAGTAATACAGTATAATTATGCTTATCCAGAATAGGACAGTAATACAGTATAATTATGCTTATCCAGAATAGGACAGTAATACAGTATAATTATGCTATTTTAATTTTCTGGTCATGCATGATATCTCATGTTTACTATTATATGCTAGGTACCTTATGTAATCAGGGAATAAGACACCAGAACACATAATTACTGTATGAATGCTAGAGAAAGAAATTAAATGAATAAGGACCAAAATACACCTTCATTAATGTTTTTAACTTTCTTAACACAAAGACGAACTCTGCCCCCCCCCCCCAAAAAAAAAAAATCTTACAAGTTCAGCAAATAAAGACAACACAGAGGTATATAACAAATATTCCACATAAAAAATGGCAACAATGAAGATAAAACAAACTGACCTCCCTGATGGCGTTAGTGACCTGGGCTCGATACAGACCCACAGAAGACCCGGAGAGAGGTGCCACAACGCCAGATGGCATCACTGATGACAAGCCAGAAGCTGGAGCAACACTCACTGCATTCTGAAAATCAGAACCATAGAAATTTATTTTGAATTTGAATATAATTATTTTAACCCTTTCACTGTCAGTGACTATGCTTACAAGCCAGTGTTGGTGGCATATTAATACCCCAAAATTCTAGCAGCTTCAAATCTAGCAGGAGAAAGCTGGTAGATCTACATGTGAGAGAATTGGTCTGCGTGGTCAGTGTGCGTAGTATAAAAAAAATCCTGCAGCATGCAGTGCATGAGAAAAAAAAAATGACTATGTTTTTGGATTCAAACGCTGAATTTGAGGTGTATTTTCCTATGGTATTTATGGATATATTCTCATTTTCTTGGTCTCATTTGATAGAATGGAAGATATATTACAGAAATAGAGAGGATTTTGATTGGTTTCTTAATGAAAAGAACCTTAAAATTGAGCTCAAAGAAGCGAAAAGGTTCGATTTTTACCAATGTTCAAGAGTAAACAAATGACATGACCATCTAGTGTCCCCCCAACTGGCCAGTCTAATATGCAGCCACGAATGGGTTGATATTTATACAATTATATAATAATGCAGTAGTCTGCTTAGCAGTAAATATTCTATTGTGTGAATAAAATTTCAAAATGGAAAGCATGAGCAATATAAGAGGGGCCTGGAGATGTGACTAATGAACATAGAAAATGTTATTTTTGTGCCAGGAATGTCTGCAATGTTTATTCTAGACCCTATTTTGAAATTGGCATCTTTTGAAATTTGTGTGAAATTGGCCAAATTGCTAATTTCTGACCATTTTATTGGGTAGTTGAAATTGGCAAATGGGCAGTTTCTTGTACTCAATTGATAGAACAAATGGAGTTCTAGAGAAATAGCAATGAGTTTGGTTGACTGGACCAATGGAATTGACCGAAAATAGGGCTCAAAGTGGGCGAAATCGCTGATGCGTATATATCGAGACCACTAAATTTGCGAGAGCGTAATTCCTTAAGTTTTCCGTCAAATATCATACTTTTCGTGTCATTACCATCGGGAAAAGATTCAATATCATTTCATAAGAAAAAATTTTTTTTTTTTTTAAATTCTTTGGCACTGAGAGCAAGTTTGTGAGCAGGGGTCTCAACAGTGAAAGGGTTAAACCAGATATTGGCAAAGTTTTTATAGAGAAGGACCACAATGTAAATATTTAAGACTTCAGGGGCCATGATAACATGGTAAAATTAAGGATACGTATACAAGGTTACATTTTCAAATTTATATATCATAATACAGATATATTCTACATGGGGAAGTGAAACAGAATTCTTCCTCCGTAAGTCATGGGTGTTGTAAGAGACGACCAAAATGCTGGGAGCAAGGGGGCTGGTAACCCCCTTCTCCTGTATACATTACTAAATTTAAAGAGAAACTTTTGCTTTTCTTTTTAGGTCACCCTGCCTTGGTGAGATATTGGCAAAGGGCATGCATAGTTCCTTTGAATAAAAGCAAAGAGGACAAAAGGAATGTAAAATTATAGGGAAATAAGCCTGTTGAGTATATCTGGAAAGGTGTATGGTAATTATTACTAAAAGAATTAAGGGTAAAACAGAGAACAGGATCACGGATCAACAAGATCAAGTGTTTAAAGTGAAGCACTAAGTGAACATTTTTTGTTGCATCTATGGATTGGGAAAAGGCATATGATAAGGAGAACAGGCAACAAATGTGGCAGATGTTGCAAGTGTATGGAATAGGTAGTAGGTTACTGAAAGCAAGAGGTTTTTATAGGGATAGTGAGGCTCTGGTTAGGGTATGTAGTAGAGAGATTATTTTCCGATAAAAGCAGGCCTTAGACAAGGATGCATGATGTCACCATGTTGAACAATGAAATCCTACCCCTATAGCATGCATTGTTCTAGAACAATGAAAACCTACTCAGATAGCATGCATTATCTAGAACAAGGGTTGGCAAACTGGGGCCCATGGGCTGCATGTCGTGCGCAGCAACTTCAAATATTTATAATAGTAAAACTAATGAACCCTCACTGTAAGTCACTTCAGTCACTTATTCAGTCATTTATATTTATTTATTAGATTGATTTTTTCTTGGGCCCTCAAAAAATGTGTAAAACATACAATGTGGCATCTGTAGTGAAAAAGATTGGAGACCCCCAATCTAGGATAATGAAAACCTATTCCTATAGCATGCATTGTTCTAGAATAATGAAAGCTTAACTTGGGCTGGAAGGCCACTTAGAACATCTCAAACTTACAACCTTGACACACCCGACCTCTACCATTAAAACTGTTTACTTCTCATATCCATTACATACCGAAAAATGCCCAATTGTGGGTGAAATGTTGCATCAATAAAGGATTCAATTGCACCAAGCTTGAGGAACAGGTACTTTTTTTTTTATCACATAATAATATACACATTTTATTCCTATCACTGTGAAGCAGCCAATGAATTTGTTTCAAGAGGCAAATATTCCCTTGTTTAACCGTTTCAGGGTCCAGACGCCCAATCTGAAACTTGTCCACAGGGTCAAAAAAATTTCCAAAAAATTGTTAATTTTTCTTATGAAATGGTAGATAATCTTTTTCTGAAGGTAATAAAACAAAAAGTACAAAATTTAATAGAAAATTGACAAAATTACGTTTTCGCAAATTTTGCTGTCAATGACATTTACGTATCAGTGATTTTACCCACTTTGACGCCTATTTTTTGCCAATTACATTGTTTCAATAGACCAAATTCTTAGCTATTTAGCTAATATGCCTTTTCTTTTACCAACTGAGCACAAGAAACTGCCCAATCAACTACTTCAACTACCCAATAGTGTGATCAGAAATTGGTAATATGGCCAATTTCACACAAATTTCAAAATAGGGTTCAGAATAAACAGAGCAGGCATTCCTGGCACTAAAATAACACTTCCTCTGTTTGTTAGTTACGTTTCCAGTATTTACACATGAATTCCATTTTGATTTTTTATCCACACAAAGAATGTTTATTCACACCAAAAAATAAAAGATTTACTCCCATGCAATATTGCAATAATTGTACAAATAATATCAGCGCATTTATGAACGCATATTAGATCCACTAGTTGAAGTGTATTGGACGTGTGATGCTAATTGTTTACACATCGAACATTTCTGCTACTTGAGCTCAATTTCATACTATTTTCAGTCCTAAAACCAATCAAAATCATCTCTATTTCTGTAACATATTTTCTATTCCATCACATGAGACCAAGAAACTGAATACAACTATAAAAACCATACAAAAATACACCACAAAGTTGCTGTTTGAAACCAAATAAAACGGTCACAGTTTTTTCTCATTATGAACTATGTGCTGCAGGATTTTTTTTTTATATGGTGCACACTTACCACATAGACCCATTCTCTCATATCAAGGCCCAATTTACCACTCACAGCTTATCCGAGTGAGCTGAGTTCATCACATAGTATTATGGCATGGACCCTGCCTTTAAACCCGTAGAACAATGACACGGACCCTCAAATGGTCAAAATTACAAGTGCTACTGTTGAAGCTTAAGCACTTGTGTGTGTAGCCACTCAAAATATCCCCATTCTGCATTATTTCACACCAGTACTCTTAATACTAACATTTCATTTTACTTAAGCCAAAACATTTACCAGATCTAACTACCTTAACTAATCACTTACAGATTGTCTTGCAGCAACGGGCAGGTACTCTGGCATGTTGGCAGCAATAACATCATCTGTAAATTCTAGTCCCATATAATCATCAAGAGCAGGATACAGGAGAGCTAGGCCAGACTGCAAATAAGAATAAATTTAACATTTAGAATAAGTGGAAGGAACAATACTGCATTGTGTACAGGGAATGAGTAATAATTCTAATTCATAAATTGTTTTAGCACTTTCAATGAAGCAACTTGGTGTGAAAACCTGCTTTGAAATACACGTTTTTTTTTTTATCATATTTCCCACTTATGCTGTTAGCAAATATGTACCATTCTCATTACTGTGACTTCTTATGTCTATCCTCTACCTTCAAGACATGGGGGAAACAACTAAAACAAAAAATGGATGGAAAAGAATTCTGCACAGCAACTTTAAAAATATAATTAGATTAGTGACTAACACCATTAAACTAATTTAATACCTTAGCCTGTGCCTGTGGAGGATGGAGAGGGTAAGGGGGTGGGGCATGGTGAGCATCAGACACAGGAGGGGCAGAGGCAGCACTCCCACCTTGTGAAGCAATCATCTCATTTACCAGCTGGGCCTGAGCCTGCAAAGTCAAATGAATAAATCATTAACTGTCATAATTTTTAAGCAAAAATGTGCATCCATCAATAAATAAGCCATTGAAAAGCACTGTACCAGAGACAAATGAACAATGCATATTATGTATATTTATTTTTTATTTTATTAACACACTGCCCAATTCCCAAGGCAGGGTGGCCCCAAAAAAGAAAAACTTTCACCATCATTCACTCCATCACTGTCTTGCCAGAAGGGTGCTTTACACTACAGTTTTTAAACTGCAACATTAACACCCCTCCTTCATAGTGCAGGCACTGTACTTCCCATCTCCAGGACTCAAGTCAGGCCTGCCGGTTTCCCTGAATCCCTTCATAAATGTTACTTTGCTCACACTCCAACAGCATGTCAAGTATTAAAAACCATTTGTCTCCATTCACTCCAATCAAACACCCTCATGCATGCCCGCTGGAAGTCCAAGCCCCTCGCACACAAAACCTCCTTTACCCCCTCCCTCCAACCTTTCCTAGGCCGACCCCTACCCCGCCTTCCTTCCACTACAGACTGATACACTCTTGAAGTCACTCTGTTTCGCTCCATTCTCTCTACATGTCCGAACCACCTCAACAACCCTTCCTCAGCCCTCTGGACAACAGTTTTGGCAATCCCGCACCTCCTCCTAACTTCCAAACTACGAATTCTCTGCATTATATTCACACCACACATTGCCCTCAGCCATGACATCTCCACTGACTCCAGCCTTCTCCTTGCTGCAACATTCATCACCCATGCTTCACACCCATATAAGAGCATTGGTAAAACTATACTCTCATACATTCCCCTCTTTGCCTCCAAGGACAAAGTTCTTTGTCTCCACAGACTCCTAAGTGCACCGCTCACTCTTTTCCCCTCATCAATTCTATGATTCACCTCATCTTTCATAGACCCATCCGCTGACACGTCCACTCCCAAATATCTGAATACATTCACCTCCTCCATACTCTCTCCCTCCAATCTGATATCCAATCTTTCATCACCTAATCTTTTTGTTATCCTCATAACCTTACTCTTTCCTGTATTCACTTTTAATTTTCTTCTTTTGCATACCCTACCAAATTCATCCACCAACCTCTGCAACTTCTCTTCAGAATCTCCCAAGAGCACAGTGTCATCAGCAAAGAGCAACTGTGACAACTCCCACTTTATGTGTGATTCTCTATCTTTTAACTCCACGCCTCTTGCCAAGACCCTCGCATTTACTTCTCTTACAACCCCATCTATAAATATATTAAACAACCACGGTGACATCACACATCCTTGTCTAAGGCCTACTTTTACTGGGAAATAATCTCCCTCTTTCCTACATACTCTTAACTTGAGCCTCACTATCCTCGTAAAAATTCTTCACTGCTTTCAGTAACCTACCTCCTACACCATACACCTGCAACATCTGCCACATTGCCTATCCACCCTGTCATATGCCTTTTCCAAATCCATAAATGCCACAAAAACCTCTTTAGCCTTATCTAAATACTGTTCACTAATATATACTATGTATACATATATTAAAATGTACTGCTCCATAACCTGTGTCAATATATATATTAAGAATTAGGATTAATCTGCCTGAAAAGCCTAGGCATGCCAGTGGCCTTTGTAATTAATATTTTATATACGTAAACCACACATTGTAAGCTTTGCAAGGAAATAAATATTTTCATTTTCATGTACTGTATAAACTATCCTCTACAAAAACAGTACAATAATAGTGCAGTGTACAGTTCTGTTCTATGCTGTACTTTCATTTGCCTCCTACAATGAACACTGCACTGCACTATTAATACTTCCACTGTGTATTATATGTCTTATTAGAATAATACTGATGTGTGACATTATAATTACAACAATATAGATGCAATGATTTACAAATCACTAACATGTTAGGACATATCAGATATAAAACGTTAAGATTCCAAACGAATTCATACAAGTTAAAATATATTCTGACAATAACTCCAGTGTACAATGTACATACATATTGCATGTTGAGACATTCTGCACAACAGATGATAAAATCTAGAAGAGAAAGCATTCATGTTGAGACTTCTTAAATTGATAAAGCATAAATACTCAATTCAGAAGAAATAGTTAGGCATTCTGTTTTTGGCAGTGAAGGTGTCAACACAGGATCATAACAAGTAAAGGCATATATAAAGTTAGACTGGAAAGAGTCTGGGGAAATAAAAGATGACAAAGGTAATAAACAGAAGACACACTGCAGTCAAAAAAAATACGTCTAACTGAAGAAAACGTAATTAATCTGCTAAGAAAAACTTCTGGGATAATAAGCGCCTTGAGGAGGATACAAATGACACAAAAATACCCAGTGAAACCAGTGTGCCAGGGACCATTCAAGTTCAAGAGAAGTGAAAGTTCATTATCTAATTGCTCTGTTGAATCCATTGCCTTACTCTTTTAGTACAGAAAATAGACAGATTTGGGCACACAACTACTGAACTAAAACAGAATTTATTAGACCTGAAGTTTGCAAGTGCTTTTTATGCCTGTAAGATCCCTAATATTGATCTACATTCCAGTAACCTAATATTGATCTACATTCCAGTAATGATTTAAATTTGAATTACGCTACACAGTATTAATGCATACAGTAACAGCAGTGCAGCACAGTATTGGTACTTTTTACTGCATCTTTGACCAACCTATAAAAAACATCAATAAAATATTAAGAGCTAAATTACTATAACTTTGTATCAAGACCATAATAAATGAAAGTTTTAAAGTTAAGGTGCCAGGTTAGGCCTTGGTTTTTTAAAACTAAAAAAGCCAGCCAGGGCAGGTAACTGAGTACCTACCTGGAGAGCTATTCATGAGAGCCCTGGCTACACTGCCACACATTTTAAAAATGAAGAACTATTTACTAGAAGAACATCTTCCGTCCATTAAAGCAAGGATCATACAATATTTGAAAATATAAAGGGTTACAGTGAGGTATCTTATATTTTGTAAATTCAAGTAATTTCTCAAATAAGAAAACTTAACTCAAACAATTATCACATTCGACAATATCAAACACAATGCTGACTTGTACAGCATACCAATGTTGGCAAAAATTTAAGGGCTTATTACATTCTGGATCATATTATTCTTGGCAAAGAAAAATGTTAATTAACCCTTAAACTGTGTCCAACATACTAGTATGCAACTGACTAGTATGTGCCCAACATACTACTACTACTACATAATTTTTCGTAGCTTTAGATCTGCCACTTGTCAATGTTTCTTTTTACCTCAGCACAATTGTCTTCTACAATATCTTTATACTACCTTTGAAAATATATACGGTCAGGAGAGTCAACACGGTGCATTATGGTTAACTACATAGGTGATGACTGACTGACCCACTAGTGTACCTAACTAGCATAAGTAAACAATGAAATCATTAGCTGTTGTTCCACCACCAGCTTCCCTACCAGCAAACGGTGTGGAAGTGGCACAAAGACAACCATTAATTCTAAATTTATTATAATTTCAGTGGAATTCAGCCACAAAGTACACTAAGTAGATTTAGCCCAGGTTAAGATAAAGATTTTATTTCTTGGCAAAGGATACAATGTGTAATTACAATTTTGATTTGTTAAATACAAAGAAAGCCACTATCATAACAGGGCATTTTGGGCAGACTAATCCTAATACTCAAAAACTACTCAAGTCTAGACAGTTTAAGAGTGGTTATCTTTTTAATTATTCGTTATTTTATCTTAATACTAATGCGCGATAGTCACAGTTGAAGGTTTATAAGAACAATAATCTTGATGTTGCACACAACGAATAACATTACAAATAATAGTTCAAACAGTACTATTTTAACCCCTAAATGGTCCAAAAGTATATATATGTTCTTATGCGTAGCGCCCCAAACGTATACATACATTTAAATTTTCCTGCCTCCAAATCTGGCACGACTGGCCTGAGATGCCTGGTCAGCATAGAGTGGGTCTTAACACTCGGTGTGCACCATATTAATTTAACTGGTGCCCCCACAAGTTGAATTGAGTGCCAGCCAGAGCAAACAGTGTGGCAAACACCAAGGATTCACTGATGTAATGTCATATTAACACTCCCCTTTTAAGAGGAAAGTGATGTTAACCCCAAGTGTAGGGTCTGTCTATCTCTGTCTATTTATCTCTATGTTTGTGTCTATCTGTCTCTGTCTATCTCTGTGTCTCTGTAAATCTGTCTCTGTATCTGTCTCTATCTGTCGTTGTCTATCTCTTTTTATCTGTCTCACAGGTACACTCAAATACAATTATACATAGCATAAATTACCTAGGATAACCTAAAAAATCCGAAGTCCTGTACTGTGCTTGTAGATATAATGCATATGAATACCTGTTGGTTTACAGTGGCTCTCTCTGAGACAGAGAGAGACAAGTAGACAGAGACATAATCAGAGACAGAGATACCAGCTCATCAAATGTCATCATTTATCTCTGCACCCTCACTGGTGCCCATCAAATGTCATAGCTTATCTCCTCTTATCTCTGCACTATCTCATCTTATCTCTGCACCCTTGCTGGCACCTACCCATTAAATGTCACCCCATATCTCATCACTGCCCTCCTGGATGCTTGTCACATTGCTTCAAGGGAGCTTCTTCCTTCCTCCTCCTCCTCCTTCTATACTCCCATGTATCCAAAACATTGCTGGGACCTATAAATACTTGTATATATTCCTAGACAATAGTAAATGACCAAGGCAGGTGTAAATGTCCACCTTTCAATGTGTTTGTGACAATTTGAGTACAATTTCAGTACCTAATAATTATCAGAAAATAAAAATTGTATAAAATATAAAAATGAGGAAAAAATGGTATATCAGCAATTTGCCGTCAGGTGAGCATTAAGTTTGCAAAGACATAAATAAATAAATAATAAAGTGCCAACTTTGCAGCCTCATATCTCAGTAAGTACTGACCCTAATTTTTTTTTATTTTAATCCTATTACACT